CAACCTGCGATATGCAGGTAGTACAGACCTGCTTGCTGAAATCAAGGAGAAACTGAAGCACCTGCTGATGAAGATCAAAGACTGAAGCCTTGACATGGAACAGAGCTCCATGTCAACTCACTGCTGTTGAGCCCGTTCCGACTCATCGTGACCCTGTAGGACAGAGTAGAACTGCCCCTGTGGGTTTCTGAGCCTGTAACTCTTCACAGGAGCAGAAATTCTTGTCTTTCTTCCAAGTCACTCAGCCATGGAATGGCTGGTCATATTGAACTGCTGACCTGTGGTTAGCAACCTAACTTGTAATCCCTTACATCACTAAGGCTCCAGAATTCCACGAAAAGAAAAGCAAAATCCTTTTAACTAGACCAACAGGTAACATCATTATAAATGGAGAAAAGATTAGAGTTGTTAAGTTTTCATTTTGATTTCATACACCATCAATGCTCACGGAAACAACAGTAAAGAAATCAAGTGACGGTATTGCATTGGACAAATATGCAACACAAAACCTCTTGTCAGTGTTGAAAAGCAAGACTTTTCACTTCGAAGACTAAGGTGCACCTGGCCCAAGGGATTTATATCACGTCATATGCATGTGAAATCTGGACAATAAAGAAGACAGAAGAAGAATGGATGCATTTGAATTATGATGCTGTCTAGTAATATTGAAAGGAATACTGAAAGTCTATTAGAAGAACACACAAATCTGTCTTGGAAGAAGTACACCCAGAATGCTAGTTGGTAAGACATCGCCTCACGAACTGACAGGCAGACTCACCCTCATAAACTTGCCTAGGTGGGAACTTGGTGGAAATTAGGGTGCTGGGTCCCAAAGTCATGAGTAATACCATGAAAGCCTTGGTTAATGGGCCCTTGTAAGTTTTTCTACCCTATAATAGTGTACATATCCTGATTGTTAGGGTCATAAACCATAAATCATAAATGATAAACATTGTTGTATAAATCAGCCCTATCTTAGAAAAACTGGTCTGTGGCTTTTAGCAATGGCTCCAGCAGGGAGAAAGACGAGACTTTCTACTCCATAAAGAGGTACAGTCTCAGAAACCCACAGGGGCAGTTCTATAGGAGCACTACGAGTCAGGATGGCAGTGGCTTTATGTTTTCAACAGGAGTCGCCACTAGAGGCCAGAGCTTAGAAATGTAAATCTAGTTATCATATGCTAATTAATTATCCCTGGCATCTCTTTTGATATGCAGCTAATGGGAACTGGCCAGCAGACATTTTGATACACTGAAGGGAAATGGTAGATCCCGTGTAATATTTATTACCCTAAGTATTTGTCATCTATATGAACCATCACTTATGCCAGAATTATGACCCACCTGTATGTAATGTCAGGAGAAAAAATGAGGTTTTTACTCCAGTAAAAAGTTACAGTCTCAGAAAGGAGACATAATGAGTCAGCACTGACTTGATGGCAATGAGTTTGTGAGTTTGGCTTGGTTATATATAAGCTGTAGCTAGTATTTGTAAGACAAAACCAACTATCAAAACCTTGTGGAAATCATAATTGGGGAAGCATTCACTATACAGTTTGGTCACCGTGAGAAAGTCTTCCAGAGCTAGCTCCTAAAAAAATCAGTTTATTAAAAAAAAAAAAGTCAGTTTATCTCTCCCTCTGTTCTGCTTGGAGTGATTATTGATCAGGCTCAAATGCTCCAGGCCAAGGATTTCACATTTAAAATAATATAACCATGGTCCCTTCCCTGTTTCGGTAGTCCCACGTGAGGAGCCCTGGTGGCATCGTGGTTACACATTGGATGGCTAACCACAGGTCAGCAGTTGAAAACAGCAGCCACTCAGTAGGAGAAAGATGAGGCCTTCTAGTCCAGCTAGTCACAGTCTTGGAGCCCACAGAGCAGTTAAATCCTGTCCTACATGGTTGCTATGAGCTGGAATCAACTCGAAGGCCATGAGCAGTCCCACCTGCAACTTTGATATGAATTTCCTTTGTTCTCCATGTCCTATTTACGTGGTCATGTTTTCATGATCCTTCAATACCATTAACGAACGTCTTATGCTCCTGGTCTCTCCCACCCGCATGATTTGTCTTTATTTTGTTTTTGTCCTGCCTAAGACTCAATAAATGTCTCTATAAATTATATTTGAATGTGGGGTTGTTTGGGGGGAACAAACACAACCCCAAATCCTAAAGGTAATTTAAAGAGAACATTTATTGAGTCAAACAGGAAAAGACAAGACAAAGTCACGTACTCAGGATAAGGGAGACCATTAGCAAGAGGTTATAAATAGCATCTGAGGGTTGACAGAACAGCAGATTTAAATAAGACATGGGAGGGCAAAGGAAGCTGTCACAAAAACCTGATTGACAGCAGATCAATACATCACAACTACAGGTAGGACTACAGAAGTGAGTATGGAACCAGGACTGGGGCACATATGTTATGCTAGAAGCAGCCCTTACAAAATTGGTTTAGAGCTTTACATACAAACTCCATGTATGTAGTTTTCATAACTTTCTGTATTTCTCAAAGACAGATATGTGGTGTGTAATCCTCCAGATGACTTGGCCTGGAGGGTTGTCTGGACAGCTCTACCTGGAATGTTACTAAGACATTGTAGGAAATTGCTTGTTTACATAGATGTTACTTTTATTGTTTTATCTGATTGTTATAAAGTCTGTGGTTCCCCCAAAATGTGCACTCCAGTGTAAAAATATGTAATCTTTATGTATTCTAGCATGAGAGGGATTCCATCAGGACAATCTGCTTTGCTGTCAGTCTCCCTGTTGGTGTTACCTTCTAATAAACTTTTTTTATTTTTAATGTGGCCTTAGTGAATTGGTTCTGCTGCTCCAGAGTAACAACCCTTATTAGAGGCCACAACCATGGGACTCTAGCACCCCAATTTCTATTAAAGACACAACCAGGCAAGTCTCTAAAGCAGTGGTTCTGAACTTTTCTAATGCCCTGACCCTTTAATACAGTTCCTCATGTTATGGTGACCCCCAAGCATAAAATTATTTTCGTTGCTACTTCATCACTGTAATTTTGCTACTGTTATGAATTGTAATGTAAATACTGATATGCACTATGTATTTTCATTGTTACAAATTGAACATAATTAAAGCTAGTGATTAACTACAAAACAATAGGTAATTATATATTTTGAAATATTTCTAATTACAAATAGATGAAATTTTGTCTTGAAGCATGGTGTAGCATGGGTAACAGTCTTCACACCATGTACTCACATATGGGTGTATCTGCATGTGGGCAGACCCGCTTGGAGAAGATATAGAAGAGCGGTGTCTCAGTTCCTAAGATCATCAGAAATATGTGTTTTCTGATGGTCTTAGGCAACCCCTGTGAAAGGGGCGTTCGATGCCCCCCAAAAGGGTCTCGACCCACAGGTTGAGAACCGCTGCTATACAGGCTGTGCTTCTCTACCTGGAGTGGCACCAAACCCATTCCATAATTTGATCTGCTTCAGGGCAAAGCGACTCACTCTGATGGTCAGGATGCAAAGGAGGCTGAATTTATTTGGAGACTCATTAACGGATTCCTGGCTTCCCCTGTAACCCAAAGCCTTCTGCAAACTCAGTACTCAGAAATTTAAGCTCTAATGCAGATCTTTTTCCTCCAGAACAGTCCTCAAAGTGACATCTTTGCTCTTTAACACTACATCCTGTTGTTCCTTATTAGTCCAATAATGAGGATTTTTGTTTCCTTTACTTCGAAGCAGAATCCATATTTACTGAAAGTTGTAAATGAGCCTTCTTCCAATCCTGATTATCTCCATCTTGCTTCATAAAGTCCAGTTCCTCAGATTATTTGCTCAGCATACCGACAGAATAATTACTGTGAAAGGATACAACCTTGACCTAGCAAGTAGTTAACGTAGAATACTTTAAAAGAATTTTAAACTGTTACGAAACATTTAAGGCTGTGGGCTTTTTCTTGGCTAGGACTTCAACCATTGGCTCAAACCCAACGGGACCTGGAAGCGTACCTAGGGCCGCTACAAATTGGAACCATCTCCACAGCATCACGACTAAAACGATCTAATCCTATTTCTTCAGCTGTGAAAATGAGCTGCCTTACTTTTTCATTCTTAAAATCTGTGAATTTGTTATCGTGGGAAAACTTTAATCAACAAACTTTGTCGTTGTAATCACTTTTAGGTACACAATTAGGGGGCATTAATCATATTCGTAATGTCGTGCAAGCATCACTCTTGCTTTCAAACTTTTTCATCACTCCAAACAGAAGGGCCTTTTAAAAATGCAGAAGCAGGCCATGCAAGGAAGAAAAGCTATCACCGGAGTGCCCGCTAAATGCCAGGGGGATTTACATAAATGATTTTCATAACAGTTTTAGTCGGAAGCCAATTGCACTTGATAGCTCTTTTAAGTAGTTCATTTGGGAATCTCCCCTCACTTTAAAGTTATTGACTGCAGGAAAATCAGCCTGCAAAACACCACAAGTTCTGGCTACGACTAAGAAATCTTGAGTCTTTATGAGAAACCGCCAGAAGAATCGAGCCCCGACGCCACGTCCTTTCCAACAAGTCCCCCAAACCTACAAAACTGACGCTGCGAATGGGCGGGAAAGCAACAGGCACCTCAAATTGCCCCGCCCCCCGCTGATTTGTTGTCGTTAGCGGTGGCCCGCCTACTTTTCTCATGAGCGATGTTTTCTTGGGCTCACGTCCGCAGAGCCTCCGTTTTCATTGGCCGTTTCTGCTGTTCGTCCGGCTCTGACGCTCGCACGTCGTGCACAAACCCGCCTAGAGCCCACCCCGACCGCTCTGAGTGCCGTGTGCAAACCTTAGCAGCCGTTACAGAGGCGGTGTAGGGGGCGGAGTTATGTTAGAAGGACGCACGCTACTGGGTAGTCACGATGCTTCAAACCAGTAAAATGAGCTGGCATTGGCTGGGACGGCCTAAGGGAGGTTTGGGGTTATTGTTTGGTGCTGCCTGCGGCGGCGGCGGCGGCGGTAACAGCCGGGGAGCCTTCTGTTGGTGTTGCGTTCTTGGTGGCGGCGGCTCTAGGGGTGGAGCAGGTGTGGCGTGCGCGAGCCGATTGGAGGCCGAGTCTGAGCCGCGTCCGGGCTGACCGAGTGGAAGCCGCACAGCGCGTCCGGGAGCCGTGCCGAGGCCATGGTAAGGTCTGGAGCGGGGCCACGTCTCGCCTTGGCCTGAGAGCCGCGGAGCAGGTGTCACTGCGCGCCGCGAGCGAGCAAGCGGCGGGGGCTGGCCGCCCGCCACCTGTTGAGGTTGGGGTTTGCCGGGCAAACTGGCGCCGGGCCGGGCGACTGCATCCCAACTAACAGCATCGCCGTGCTGGAAGCGCCCAAACCCCACTACTTGCCGGGTTCCGGGGGTGCGTGGGGGTGGGGGGGCGCGGACCGCGATCTCCTCGGCTGCCCTGCAGTGGGCGATTCGGTACAAGCTTGCGGGGCTGGCGAGGAACTGCTCCGTGGTCGCATCACGCAAGGCAGTATTTAGTTCCAAACTCTAAAGACGTTTCGAGAGCCTGAAATAGGTCTCACCTGTCGGGAATTGGCTTGCATAGTTCTGACTTTGTCCACTGGACGCTCACTAAAAGCTTTTTTTCTTATTGCTTGTTTTAAAAGGAGAAAGTTAGAAACGACTGCATGGATTGGTTTGTTGTTGAAATGCAGAAACAGGTGTTTGTTTTTTAAAGGTTTCGATTCCTGCCCAAAATGAGGTCCAACAGGAGATCACTTTCACGATATGTATCTTTGAAGTCAATTGGAGGTTTCTTGGGAAAGGGGGATTTATTTATACTCGAGCTCTTGGAGCTAGAAAGAATTTGAAGGGGAACGACGGTATACATGAAATATTTGCTGTTAGATATGAATGTAGCTTTGATTCCTCAGCAGTTAGTGATTTTCACAATACAGCAGGATTTCCTTTTGCCACTGCTTTGAATTTTCCATCTTTTTATTATAAAATTAAGGTCTACATTTTTTAAAACTGACTTTTAAAAAAGGAAAGTGAATAAACGTCAGCTCCATGCTAAAGTTGAAAGAAAGGAGAAGGTGTAGTGCAGTAAAGATAATACTGCTGTTAAGAAATCATATTTATGTTGGTGTATTCCTGGGGTAAGCATCCCATTTTAACATGGGTAACTTCAACTGGAGTTGCCTGCTTGCAAGTTAATCCCAGGCTCCTCATACTGTAGTATTAGATGATTAATCTTGTGCTTGATATGAAAGATGTTGGAATTTAATAATCCATCCGCCAACCTATTAGTATGGAGTAGATTTCCAACGCATAGTGACCCTACAGGACAGGGTAGAACTGCCCCGGGTTTATTTTGGAGACTTATATTACTCTTACAAGGAATTAGCAGTCTCATCTTTCTCCTAGTGAGCATCTGGTTGGTTTAAATGCTGATCTTGAAGTTAGCAGCTCAGCCACCCTGGCTTCTTTGATAGACATTTTACTTAAACATTAAATAAGTTGACCAACCAAGAGGACCCACATTTTGGTCATTGGAAAATGCTGAAGTTTCAGAACTGAATAGGCCTGATGGATAATTGCATGCAGTCCCTATACAATGTATAGTAAAGTGTTCTATATAGTAAACCACTTTGACAAATTAAGGCACAGATTACAGACGATCTATAAATTAATATGCTCAAGATGATGATTTTCATGATCCTTGCTGGGTTTTTTAAATTACTAGTCTATAATTTATTTGGCATCCATTTACTGAAGGCTAAAAATACTTAAGTATTAACATAAGCTAAAAATACCGGCTCTGTGAGTTTCCCAGACTATAAGTCTTGAGGGGAGTAAAAAGCCCTGTCTTTCTCGCTCAGAGCAGCTGGTGGTTTTGAACGGCTGACCAGTTAGCAACCCAACTCATAAAGTATATGAAATAAATTGAGTGTGTAAAACTTAGAAATTGTCATTTAATGTATTAAATGTGATTATGTATCTATCACCCTAAGAAAACCTAAATAGAAAAAGCTGCAAACATGACAGATTTGCGACAGTAAGGTTAAAATTACTTTATACATTGCACTTATAGTATAAATTGCTGAGTTTTGAAGTTGGTGACTTTTTATTAATAGTTCTTATGGTCTGAATGTTTCTTGGGTGCATAGAATCTTAAAAGCTTGCAAACTTTCTAAAGCCATCTAAGGGGATAAGCAGTTGGTCTCTATTCTCTGGGTCAAGAGCAAGAAGAGTCAGGAGTAAAAGGAGAAAATGGCATCTTGGCTAATTAATTGCCTCAATGAACAACGACCTCCTTTTCCACAACACTAGAAGAACTGGATGGTGCCTAGCTACCATTACTGAGCATTTGGATGAGAGCTTCTTTAGAAGAATTCTGGTCAAAGGGGATCCAGGGAATCCAGATTATCTGGAGCTAAAGGAGGATGGATGAACCTTGAAACTATAAAAAGCCATAAGTCAAAAATATTACCTGAAGATTTGCTAAATCCAACTCGTTTAATAAAGTATGTTTTCCTTGAGCATTGTGCTTTTGAATGATACAGGGCAAATTGACAGTGGCATCTTGGAAGACTAGAAAGGAAGACTAGTAGGCTGTGAGTTTGATTGTTTATAGGGGAGAAAGAATGCAGAAAGGAGGAGGGTAAGCGTGGGGACACAGCTCAAAGAAGGTAATTAGTGTCACTGAACTGTACATTTAGAAACTTAAATTGGTGTATCATTTTGCTGTATATGTTCTCAACAACAAATAAAAATTTAAAGCAGGTGTTATTTCCTAATCAAATCAATTAAAGTGGGTCTGTTTTTGCTTTTTAATGTTTTTATTAGCGCAGATATTGATGAAAAGATCTGAGCAATAGGTGCCAATATATTGCCTTTTTGAGGCTTACTATCAACAGATCCTCAAAGAGCAAGTCGGACTTGTATGTATTTTGTTGTTGTTGTTTTTTGACTATGTCTTTTACAATGAAAGGATCCCTGGTGGTATAGTGGGTGAGCACTGAGCTACCAACTGAAAAGTTGTGATTGGAATCCATCAGCCCCTCTGTGGGAGAAAAATGTAACCATTTGCTTCATAAAGATGTATAGCCTGGAAACTGAGGCAGCTTTACTCTGCCCGACAGCTTTGCTATGGGACAGAACAGACTTGACAGGGTTAGGTGTCAGTTTTTTTTTACCATGGGAAAAATGTTAATATGTAATCAAATAATACATAGGAGAACTGTTTCCATTTCATACCAAATCCTTATTGTTCCTTGCTGGCAAATAATTTTCTAACTTACTGAGTGATCTTCTAGAAATATGTGTACATATATATATACTATGTATTACCCCATATTTACACAAACAAGTTCAGTACTGTACATTGCTTTTTGGGTTTAGAAATATGGTCTATGGATAAGTATCTCATTTGTTGTAATGACTGCATAATATTCTTTGCCTTCATATATAACATGGTTTAGGTAAGTGTCATAAGGTTATACTGACTTGATCAAGATTCTTCAGTCCAAAATTTGGGAAATATTTTCCAATATTTAGAAATTTCAATTTTTATATAGGTATTTAAGGTTGACATTATAATACAGGAAGGAGACTGAGTGGCTGGGCTGCTAAACCAAAAATTGACAGTTCAAAATTACCACCCCAGACTTGGAGAAAGATGAGACTGCTGCTCCTATCAAGATTTGCATAGTCTCAGACACCCTCTGCTCTGTGCCACAGAATCTACCTGACCGTGGTGCACTGGTTTTTCGTTGGTACAACTTAAGAAAAGAATCTTATTTTCATAGCCACCAAAAGTAAGACTAGAAGATGACTTATTTCCTGGATATTGTTGAAATAGAGTTTTCAACTCTTAATCAGAAACTTTTCTAAAATCTAGGCTGGGGGCAAAGCTGGAAAAGACAGTGGAAAGGCCAAGGCTAAAGCAGTATCTCGTTCACAAAGAGCTGGACTACAGGTAACATGCTATGATCATTTGTTAAATTATTTTCTTTACTGTTGCAGTTCATGACCATAGATGTTTCAGTAACTACAAAAATATACGAGGAGTTCCCCCCCCCCAAAAAAAAAAAACCACAAGCAAACAAACAAATAAACCCAATGCTCATTTGTTTTATTGAAGTGAGGGGTATAGTGCATTTGGAGTTCATTCTACCAGGTCAGACTGTTAATCAAGCTTTCTATTTAGAGGTTCTGAAAAGATTGTGTGACAGTGTGCAACAAAAAAGGCCTGATTTGTGGCAGACAGGAGACTGGTTTTGCCACCAAGACCATGCACCTGCTCATACAGCCATCTCCTTATGTCAGTTTTTGGCAAAAAACAGCATGCCTGTGTTGCCCCACGCACCGTACTTATCTGACCTCACTCCATTCAACTTATTTTTGTTTCTGTGACCGAAGAGGGAACATGAAAGGACAGTAATTTGACCACCTCGAAGAGGTGAAGAAAAAAAACAAAGGAGGTGCTGTCAGCCATCCAAACAGATGAGTTTGAAAATGTTTCCAAGAATGGAATTGCAGATTTGACAAATGTGTTAAGTAATGGATACTACTTCAAAGGTGATAAAATTGTTGTTTTTTTTAAATAATAATAATACATAGTTTTGGGGGGTCTAGGTTTTTTGGGGTACCCACTCATATTTGCAGTCCCATTACTTTTAAGAATAAGCTTGATTGGTCAGGACTTTAATAACTAAAACATCTATCATTGTCTTTTTCTAACCAAGAGCCAGTTATTTAAAAGTCTTAATTTGAGATTTTTAGTTCTACTGAAATATACTATTTCTAGATTAGAATTATATTCCTAGTTCTTTTATAAATTGTGTCATAGTGAATTGAAGGAGCTGTGTACTTTTTCTTTTAAAGGAGGTATTTGTAATTCTTTGCCAACTTTTAGGTGAAATTTTTTTTTTGAAATTAGTAAATTATCCATTCCTTCTCTGAATATGATCCTACTAGCCTCAGTTTTAGACTGAGATCTGATCAAGAATCACTAAATATTTTCTGACTTCTCATATATTTGAATTGGTGCAACTTTAACCTACAAATTTGAAATTTACTTGATGAATGAGAACTCCCATGTATAAGAAGTTGGATTTTAACCTTTGGGGAGGGATAAGTTGTTTAAAGTTTTGAGCAAGAGGATGATATCCAAGGATGACTAAATGAAACAGGATGAGAACACATTCTTAATGCAAAGATTACTAGTTTTAGAGCACCATGTAAATTTTCTTTTTCTTTTTTTTTTTGGTACCATGTAAATTTTTTATTAGAATTTATTGAAGTGCATTTAATTTGAAGAGGGAGATGGAAGGTAGATGTTGGAAATAATTTTAATGGGAGGTACTAAGTAGTATGTAGTATTTGAACTAGAGGGATAAATTATAGGGTTGAATGGAAAGTTAAGACAAAGTCAAAAAGATAGGAAACTAAAATTTAGAACCTAAGTGACAGAAATTTTGTAATGAGGATAAGTTTATAAAATTGTAAATTTGAATTTTTTTTATTGAAGTTCTACAAGAACATCTATAAGAAATTGTCTAGAAGTTGGAAGTATGAGTCTTAACTTTCCAGTATTTGAAATACCTTTGTAAAAATGATGTTCATGTTATGAATGAGCTCTCTAACCTAAAAGCATGAGAAAGGGACAGAGGACATGGTGGACTCTTTAGAGTCATAGAAAAAGACTAGGGTGTAGGCAGTATTAGAATTACATGCAGTTGCTGAAGCCTAACAATTATTATTTGAGATCTTATATGTCAGAAAACATGGCAGTCCCAGAGGATGCAGAAAGGAATAAGGCATGGATCCTGCTCTTATGGAGCTCATAGTCAATAAAGAAGAATAATTAAACTCAAATTCTCATACTTTTTTTTTCTTCTTGATGAGATCTAAAAAGTGGCTAATACAGTTGGTAATTAAAATATCACCTCTGACCTTCAAGAGTATAGTTTAACAGAAGCCATGTTTGAGTTTGGATAAAGTAGGTGACAAGAAAGTATGAGTTTACCAGAGGGTATACACTGGTACAGACAGGAACTGGACACACAGGGAATCCAGGACGATGATCCCTTCAGGACCAGTGGTGTGAGTGGCAATATTGGGAACGTAGAGGGAGAGTGGGTTGGAAAGGGGGAACCGATTACAAGGATCTACATGTGACCTCATCCCTGGGGGACAGACAACAGAAAAGTGAGTGAAGGACAGGGCAAGATATGACAAAATAAGACCTGGTAGGGCAGGATCAAGGGGAACGTAACAAAGAGGAAATGCTGAAATCCTGGTGGGGACTGAGCATGATAGTGGGACAGGAGAATCAATGGAAATAGAGGAAAGAGCTGGGAGGCAAAGGGTATTTATAGAGCTCTCGATAAAGACATGTACATATACAAATATATTATATGAGGATGGGGAAATAGATCTATGAGCCTACATTTATAGATTTAGTA